TCAGGGAATAAAAACTACTGGCTAAATCAGCATTTCAGCTCCGGGTTTCATATTCTGGATGTATTCATGTATTCATAACCAAAATACAACTTTTAAACAAACATTTAAGTATTAATAACCTTGTATTAGTAGGTATTAAATATTAATACAGGATGAAAATATTTAAGACAAGGAAAATATTTTTTCGGATGTCATCAAAAATCCCTTCCACACAACAAAAATGTTGAGCATACCTACCTATTTAATATAATTATTTCTCTTAGTAATTATTATTCAAATTAATTGTAAAATTAAAAATTATTCGGGTTTCGGTTAATTCAGGTATTTTAGAAAAAAAAATAATTTTTGTTGTACCTATGGGTTTCAGGTGTTTGCGTTTTAAAAGGTTTTTAGGGGTGTATGGGTTCGCGTTAATTCGAGAAGAAAGGCCTGGACTAAATATTACCAACTTATGTTTTATATTTTATGTAAAACCATTATTAAGGACTACTATCCTTAATACACCGAGTACCTATAATATGACTCAACAATTACTCGTTACACTTTCGATTTAAAAACATCAACAGTTTCAAAAAAAAAAAAAAATGACGAACTTAACAATTTATAATATTTGATTTTTAAATGGTGTAAAAAAAAAAGGTTTTTGAAAATACTGTCGACGAATCACTCTGCATATACGCTGGCACGTGGATGCCACTACCGAACATTCCAAACGCCAATAACATTTTGTTCGCTAAATTCCACTGAATTTACAGCTCTCGGCACATACTAGCTAAATGTAGATTGTACCATTGTAGATATATATGAACATTGTACGCGTACACGGACCACATCATTATGGAGCGACCGTATATGGCATAAAGTTATATCATATTAGCCATTGGGTAAGTAATTAAAATAATGACCAGACTGAGTGTGTTATGATAATACACTATAAACTGATGTCCAGTGTACGAAACCAAATTACCGAAATTATCAGTCAAAAGCATGGTTGTTTAGGGTATAAGAAAGAATGTTTGGGCTATGCCGTAGAAAAACGTATGTAAACCAACGTCTAAATAGACGTTTAACTTTACCCCCTCCCTCCACCATCAAAAAAATAAATTCAAATGGATATTATTAGATGCTGAATGATGATTATTCCGACAGATGCAATTCCTCGATATTTCAAATTCGCGTAAACGTCTTAAGTTTTGCAAAAAAATAAGTGTTTATTGTTAAAATAATACCTGTCTTAAACACAATCGAAGGAACGCTGAAAATTTAATAAGAACCGCTTGAGAATGTCGAACAGAAATTAAGATACTGTTGTTTGATTATTTTATACAATTACATAAGTACCTATTGTTGTGTATTTTTTTTAAACAAATAGAACATAATATTGTATATTATGTAAGCATATATAAGTAATATTATACAAATGTAATCGGGCTTTACAACTTACAAGTGCCAAGAACACCATTAAATGACTACTTAATTTAGTATAGACTATACATATTATATTATATTCACAAATACACTTTACATAATAATAATACCTGTAATGGCTGTAGTATAAAATATGTATATTATTATTGTTATCATAAGAACATTGAGGTACAAATATAAAGAATATTTAGTATTGTGATTTGTGAACCGAATTTTACTTCAATATTAAATAGTGATATTATAAGTAGGATATGTTAAAAATTCTTAATAAATATATATATGTAAAATACTTATAATATGTCAATATCTATTAAAATTCATTTTCAGTTCGGTATTCAAAATTACAAAATATGTACAATAATAATATAATATATTGTATCTATAATAATAGGTTCCTATGGGTTTTGTTTTAAAACTGTTGAATTTCAAACATTTGACATCACTGTATAAAAGTAATTTCGTTATCCTAAAAATATATTTCGATACAAATACGTCGAAAATAATACTGTCATCATAGCCTCCAAAGTGGTAAATTATTAGACTTCGTGTCTACTGATCATTCGAGAAACGTAATGAAAACAATAACAACAACTCGTTTTTATTAGGTAACCATACCACGAAATAAAAAAAAAACATACCGTTGGTATAATATTATGACACTGAACGACGAAGTTTAGGTTATTTTGCTTATAAAGTACGCTACTCGTGTAAGTTTTAATTTGAAAACATATATTCAGGGATCACGACAAAAGATCTGTTTTCTTTATACATCCCATGCGGCGTAGCGACGTAGCGTAAGTAGAGAATTTCGCTTCCAATTTCCAAAACAGCGCCTTTGTACAGTTTATCTCCGGGTGTACAGACTCTCTGACATATTTTAAAACATTATTACAGTTATTATGGTGGCGGATATTACACTTTGCCGTTTGTTTTCACGTTTCATTATCCAGACAATGGTATGCATAATATAATAATATTTTGACTGATCGTATTTATTTAATTTTTTATCTATAACCACTGATCAAATGAGATTTAATTATAATGAAATTGTTACCCGAACGTAAAAGCTTTCCACAATACATTCTGTCAGTAACAATTTTTTTTATTTTGACCCTGAAAGGGAAAATCGTTTTTGACTTGTATTGTAATACCAATCACATTAATGTAACATTATAGTACAATGTGTCCCGTGAGGAAGTGACCGGCCGGGGTCATATGATAGTGTCCAGACCTTAAGTTTGGTACGAAAAAACTTTAAAGGGTGGCTCCAATTTAATTTTTTAGTTATGGGCAGTTCAACTTTTTTCAAAAACGAACCAAACTTTTACTGATGTATTTTCAACACTTTTCAACTTTTTATAGTAGTTTTTTTTATTTTTTTTTTTATTTTAAAGCTATTTTACTGTGCTATCGATTAACATACACAATTAAACCACAACTGTACAAATTTTAAAAAAATTGAATTCTGTAGAATAATAAAATAAAAAAAACGGTAGTAAACGTAATTTCCTTTTACAAATGCTAATTTTCCAGCTGTTTTTTTTTAAATTTAATAAAAATAATTTGTATATTTTTGGCTTGATTGGGATGTTAGTTGATACATGATAACATTATAAAATAGCTTTAAAATAAAAAAAATGCACGATAAAAAGTTTAAAAATTTGAAGATAACGCAAACAAATGAGTGGTAGGTTCGATTTAACTAAAAAAATAAAAAGTTTGACCCAATTGTAAAAGGGTTTTTTTTTTAAAATTAACGAATACTATCATATTGTGACGCCAGCCGTTCACTTCTTCACGGGACACATTGTATATTAAAAAATTAATTATTACCTGGAATATAATAAATTATAGATAAACGTGTAGTATAAATCTGTGAGTACCTACCCTACTGTTTTACATATCCATTCTTACACATAGTGTTATGACTTATGAGTTTTGGTTTTTCTGTCTTTCTGTGTTTTAGTTTATATACTTTCCCGTCAGACGCCTCAGACGTAAGTGGTGTCGTGGCCTGCTAGATGCTTGAATCCTAGTTCAAATCCTCCTAAACTCTAAACAAAATAGGTAGTGTCATCATTGGGTGGCTTCTTCCGTCATATTAATCATGTTTTTTTTTTATTACTCTTTTGTTCTCTGAATAGATTGTAAATATCTTGTAAAAATAAAAAAAAAATTTAAAAGTTTATATACTTTAGTGTTCCATTAATTTTATGTATCGTAATATTAATTTTTAAAAAAATTTATATAAACTAGAAATACCCCGAGATCGTGTTACATTAGAAAAATGAATATTTTAATATTATATACAAATTAAGTATTGCGAGTGAATCACAGGGCCATGAATTGTGCAGCAAGAAATTCGCTAGAATTTGCGAGTCCGTTCCCAGAATTTGTCAACTTCGTGGACATGTATATCACTATAATACTATATTATATTATGTACTTTGCAGTAGACAAACTGAATTCAAACCACTTTCCCTTATAAAACTCGGAATAGATAAATTACATTATAGTATTATACCATTCGAATTGAAACGAAACCTCATTGTACAGAGGTATTTTTTTTTTATTAGCTTTTAACAAGGAGTTATTATAGCTATTGTACATACTTAATTGTCTATAATCAAAATCTAATAGCCAACGCATATAACCTAAAGATATAGTCGGCCGATTTTCTTTTTGTCACGTCTTAGCGTATTACAAACAATAAAATAAAAAAAAAAATTGTGGTGTATAATAATAATAAAAATTATGTGAATAAAAAAAACAAACAAAACGTTTTGCTCATCATAATTTATTATTATGTTAAAATAAAATAGTTTGCGTGACGAATAGCCTTGGCATTTTTTTGCAGAGTGCGCGATCACGTTTGATCTGTAAAACCATCGGATTAAAGCTTCGACGTGGTTACCAAACGGACACTTATATTTAAACGTCCAACATACATGATATTATACTCTCGAACAAACGATATTACAATATATTCTTGGTGATTTAGGGTCGTGTAGGCGGTACTCTTAGATACTGTTTCATAATATTATATACCTTTCGTGATTATACAATTATATGACATTATCTAGATGAAATTAACATAAACCACATATGTATATTATGTGTACAAAAAAACTATAGGTACGTTAGTATTTTGTTTTTAACAGTGCCTACAAAACTCTATGATATGTTTTAAAGCTATATGATTATCTATATTTATTATTTTTACATTATTATTAATTCATAATTATATAGGTGCACATCTTGAGTCTGGGTCCTCTCAACTTTTTTGATTACTAGATCAGCCCGTGAATATTTTGGTAATGCGACGACAATGACGATATCAATAGTAATAATAATATTAATAATAATAATAATAATAATAATAATAGTAATAGTAATAACAACAACAGTTTAAATAGTACAACGTACGCGACACTGCGACGGGATCTTAATTATATTATTACATAATATAATAGAACGACGCGAATTCCGCTGTCAGTCTCACCACTAGCTTGCAACAGCTGTGGTCCTCGTCGTCGCCGTTGTCCCCAGAGTTGATCAGAGGGGTGCGTAGCTCAGACCACATCCGGGTAGAAGTCAGTGTCTTGAAACACCGTCTGCGGTTCGCCCGTCAGCCTGTCCACGGACGACGCCAGACACCTGTAAAGGCCCTTGTCCAGGGGCGTCACGTCGTGGAAATGCAACGTGCTGCCTTTGGGCCTCAGGTGCATGTCGTACGTCTGCACCTCGCCCATTCGCCTCATGGCCATCTCCTTGTCCGCTTTGCCCGGGTCCACTCGTTCCCACACGATGTTCTGCAAAACCGACAAATTATACACCGTAAACCACGATTCCACGTGAATGCTAAGTCTGAGAGTGTAGGCGGTGTACGTGACCAAACAGCGATCGGTATGAAGGAATAACCCCCCCTCGGTTGAATTAAACGACTTCGGCGAGTGAGGTTTTATGTTGGGTTTAAAAAATTCACGAGACTATATAAAGCAAACATCAAACCCAAAAGTCCTCGAACGACTATTTAGGCGGCACTCGGGGATGTTATATTACCTTAATGACACAATCGCTTTAACGTTACTGTTTGCATGTGAATTCCAGCATGTGTCGACAACCCGAAATGATGAGTCGTGTATCTATAATATTATGTTCTCGAATAGGTCAAACACCCTGACGGTTCTGGCGTCCTATAGTTCTGACCAATTGTAGGCGATATACTAAGTATAGGACTTCGAGACTACCGCAACAACTACTGGAGTAATGACGGTATTGTTTTACATACCATTGTAATGTGGTATAATATAATATTATGTTAGAATCCGCAAACGCGTATTATAATATGGACTAGTGTGGTATTGTGACAGAATCAGCTGATCGCCATATTAAATAACACACCGTGCACAAGTGCGGATTACAACCATTATAATATTATAAAGACATAATTATATTATAACACACTACCTATAACAACGAGTGCAACCTCTTTCCACTTGCCGGCCACATTCAAAATTCATGTACTTCACGGTTTCTTTGTTCATTCCGATAAATGCAATAAATATAATATTATCTTTGTTCACTGAATATTTAGTCGGTAGTTAATATTTTTTTTCTCTCAAGGTAGTAACTATACGATTGTAAGATATTTTATAATTTTTAAAAGGTTATTGAAATAACTTTTTTTTTTTTTTATTATTATTATTATTATTATTATTATTTATAATACCTAAATACATTTCTAATTTTATAAAATTTTCACTGGCTGGTTGGAATACTTCTATTCACTGGCACGCCTGGCCTATACACTTGGAATCTCGCGTTATTCGGCAACGCGCATGTCTAAATATTATAAAACCTAAGACCATTAGCGACAGTAAAGTTCCGAACGCCACCATAACAATATAGTATTGTGTACATTGAATAAGTAAAACTGTCTCCGTAAGTGCATGTGCGATAATCATCTTATCTCGGATTCCACGGCGTATACGCCGACTGCAGGGAATACTGTCTCGTAAACTGTAGAAAATACAGCCACGTGGGGTACGCGTATGTTTTTTATGGAATTTATATACAGATATTGTAATATTATACCGGTTGATAATTTTAACGTAAAATATTCATTGTTTCTAAAACTATGGGTACCTATTAATGCTTTTGGAAATATTTAATTTTAATAATAATTAGAAGTCAATACAAAACGACATTAAAGTAAAAAAAAAATTGTTCTATATTCGAATCGACGAGTTAAATGGACAGTAATTTAGGGTACCTATAGATATTTAAAAATGCAGGGATGTCTCGCAAGGCGTTGGTCAACTACTCCGCGCATCAACACTTTAAATGTATACATCTATATAATTAATTAGAGACTCCGACGAAATTTCAAATAGGTACAACTCCGAAAAAAAGTTTATGCTTGGAATATAAAATTAATAATTGCCATTCAAAAAAGAAAAACCCTATCTATTAAATATTATTGAGATATTGTGTAAAATATAATATATATATATATTGTGTAAAAACAATATTTTCAAAAACGTTAATACTTTTGTAAATAATGAGTTTTACGTTCAAATAATCATCCGGTATTATATTTACATAATAATGTTGGGCTCCAACCACAATAAAACGTTTATCGCGTCCGATCTATAACTGTACTGTGTTTACACGCAAACGGTACAATTTATTTTTTTAAAACAAAGTTTTTTTTTAAATGTTTTATTCAGAGTTGTTACAAGGAATTTTTTAGTCAACTAATAAATATTTAAAATATACAGAAACAAAGTTTTTTTTATTATTATTCTGGTTATTTTTTCATGATCGCATTTGTTCTTCGTAACTTATAGGTAGGTAATATTGATTCGTGCTCATGGCCGTGAAACGTTGTAACGTTTTTTTAATGTATAAAATTATACGTAGCACAATAATAATGTATTATAACAAGAGTATAATATCATATTTTACGTATAAAATCTCCGGATACGAAATCAAGCGTACAAGCAGCACACGTTATTATCGTCATAAGTCATAACTTCAGTTCCGAATTATTATTATGGGTAGGATCTACATCTACAGAGGGCTCCTAACCAGCTAAATTCAGGAAACCCCGCTTTTTAATCAGGCGTATGAATTTTTTTTCTAATAAAACCCTCAATACTTAAATTAATAATAATATGTTCTTTACACATTTAACATTTAAGTAAGCATTGATCAAACATCAACCCAGTCAACCATATTTTACTAGAAATCGTATTCTCTCTCTTTAAAAACAAAAACGATTCTAATAAAAGCTCCTGCTACTCGCATCACCATCTCCGTTTACACAAACAATAACGTAGAGGAAAAAGTTCGTATAAACCTCATTATTGATTCTTCACCGAACGACATTGAAAATTTCTTTTATTTCAATATGGGGTCTTTCGAGGAAAAGTAACAATTTTATATAGTATCGGCGTAACACGTCACGAGAGCGACCATTTCCGGTAAGATTCTGCACCAGGCACAACATGTGTCTCATGATCGTAGGTACGTGTCGTAAATGTGTTTTCAAAAATCCATTCTTTCAGACTATAATATTATTATTATTGGACTTATAATTAGTATATAAGGTGGTGCTATATCATTAAACACATAATGTTTTTTTTTATCTGTCTTTCAGCGCCACCTGTCCATCCCAATTAGCGTTAATTCTGTTGTGTCAGACACGGACTTACAGATATCACCGGTACAGTACTCGGAAATTCACAATTTATCTCGGCGCCCGTCGGTGGAACCAGCTTCCACCATCCACTGCCCACTCGCAGTCTTCGTGTCTTTTTGCTCTCCGTCACCGACGCAGTGTCTACTCGGTTGTAAAATCCCCATCTGTAAAAATTTCCTAAGAATTATTTACTTACAATATAAATGTTTTGTTTCTCGTATTGTGTTGCTGTTCTACGAAAATATTTTCATTCTACTTATATCTATCACCTGCAGCTGGTATAGTATATTGTAAATAAATATTTTTAAAGCAATTCGAAAAATTCCAATTTACTCTGCCCTCCTTGAAATACTAGAATTTTTAGATACCTAACAAGAATATTAAGGTCAGTAGAAGAACGTGATATCATATCGCATTATAGTTTATTATGTAAATAATAAATTTATTGTGTTATTTTAAAATCAGAAAACAGCGAGCCAATTTTTGAAATATCTTTCAAACATTTCAAAATTATGTTATCCAATTGTACCCTGAAATATCAACCGTCCATAATTAATGTCGATAACCGTTATATAAATCTATGACAATTGACAATCACACTGAGATTATGAACAAAAAAAACAGAAAGTAAATCGAATTAGCCCATTTGTGTTTTACATTTATATTCAAGAATTTTTTTTTTTTAGCCAGTTAAAAGTTTTTTGCGAACACCTAATATTATAAGTGTAGTAAAATTAGTGGAATTTTAATCTAGGACAAACATTAATTACAACTAATAGCCTCAAAGTTTATCAATTGGTGTTAATTTATGGTATAGTAAAATTATTTTTTGTAATAGTTTTTCTAGAATATATAAAAAGGAAAATTTTGTAATACAATTAATTGTATTTTACCAGACGTGTTCTTTTAAATATTTAAATGTTAATCAATGCAATTCATTCAAATAAATCTAAGATTTAAATAACATATTATAATATAACAATAATTTTCTCATTTTGCACGACATAGATCATATTAAATTTGTGTACCTAAGTAGATAGGTTCACCATATACATTTGTATTAAAAATATTATAAGTATAATTCATAATTGTTTTCTTTGAACGCATTTTAAAAACTAACTATAAATAGTTACAATACTAATGAAGTACTTCAAATGTATTTAAATTTAAATTACGGAATATATTATTAAATAAAACTAGAAATACAAAATATGATTTTATTTTCAAATAATTAAAATACAATCCTACAAATTTGATGAAAAAAATAACGTCGTATTTTATTTGGTTTACTACTGCAAACCATGTATAATTTAAATGTATGGTGGTATGATAAAATAATGAGTATTTACATTTTTTTTTTTAGTCAAAATAATAAATAACATTAACTTCTAAATTATAATAATATATTATGATCGTTACAGTAGTGAAATTAATTTTAAAACTAAATGGAATAAAACCAATTTTCTGTTTATCCGTATAGCACAGCGTATATTATATAATAAGTAATAAGTAATGATATTTAATCGTTGTAAGGAGCACAAAATACCTCACTAGAAATCGGTATAAACTTTTATTTTATTTTAACTTAACCTCGGTTTTTGTGTAGAATATTATTCAAATTGCACTATAGGCATGTTTTAATTTGACACCCATTAAAAAATAAAAATAAACTAACATTTTTATAAGTATAAATCTTGCTCAAATCTAAAACACATAATATGTAAAATTGTTCATATTTCGATATTCTGTGTTATTCATTGTTAAAAAATATAATTAGATTTTCGGTTTCGTTGTATATTAATTTTTTAGACAATCATAATATGTTATATGATTATAATCATCATTATTACTTCCCTGTGTTGTTAATCAAAATAATTGGGTTTGAAACACCATTGTTTTCGTTCTTGCCGTTTCCACGTCAAATGTTGTCAACTTAACAATATAATATTATGTATACAATTTTTAAATGAACAAAACTGTCAGAGGCGTTCGACAAAAAAAAATTTATAAAATTGTCTATGTTTGACTCGCGCTTAGCGAGGTTAGGGGTCCTATAAAACGTGTATAATATATTAATATCATATAATGAGTTTGTTTCATCGCAACATGATAATTGAAAATATTATCAAAACCTATTAAAATTTGATACCTATCAAAACCATTGCCCACTCAAAAATATTTTATATCAAATCACCACCATAAAGGCCCATTTCAACGAAAAAAAACCGATTTCAGTTGTTTGTTTTTGTAATGCACAAATACTCTAATTGTATGGACATGAACTTTTTTCGCATTTGAAAAGTAGATACATCGTAGCATGTTTTCAAAAAATAAAAAGTCGTCTGCTTAAGAACGCACTAACAGTAAATACTAAATATATTGAAGTTCCAGTTTGAAAAATTAAAGTTTACATCGGGACTTGGATTTTTATACCATCTAAGAAACTCCAATAATGAGTTCTATGACTACAAAACGTTAAAAACAAATCTAAATCGTTGGAAATAGGAATTATACCGGGTTTATGTGCACTTATAAAAAATCCGAAAAATCAGGATTTGGCCAAATGCGCAATATCAAAGAGAAAAAAAGTGACTTGGCACGCCTGGTGCATCGCACCCCTTATGGGTAGTTATAATGCTTGATAACAATATGATATTGATGCGGGTGCACGGTTGTTACGAGCCTGCACGGTGTGTTCGTGTACGGTTTGTGTTCGACTAAAGTCCGCCGAAATGCCGCCTAGCACGGCGCATAAAAAAATTATCCGCTCTGGAAAAAAAAAAATACAACACGCGTTTACGAGTGATGCGAAATCGTTTAGAGGGATGCCGAGTGCCGACGAGCGTGTCGCGCGGGCGTAACGATATTTAACTTCCCGAAAACACGTACCCACGTCGAGTCGATATGAGTTGTAACTTTTTAACGTGTGCCCATATGGGTATGGATTAACCATGGCGTGCAATAAATCCGACAAATTGAAAACGAAAAACGAAAACCGTCTGATACACGTCGACGATCATCGAGCTGTTTTGAACGTTTTCGCAGATAAAGTCGGGTTGAGGGCGTCAAACGCGCATCAGGTTATCTGCAAAGTGCACCTTATGATAATAATATAATAAACTATGTTATCATAATATTGCCGACGCCAAGTGTTATATTCAAGGATCGACTTTAATACGTCATTTCACGGTCTTCCATCAGAGTTACTTGATTAGAAATTATGATGATGGTATTGTTGAACTCTGAAATGGAGATTTTTAAATCCTCCTACAATTTTTAATGAACAACATTTTTATGATAATTATTTTAATAAATCCTCGAGACTGCAGAAATTAAACCACTAATCATATTATATGAGACGAAACATTTATATTCATAAACCGAACTCATAATATAAGTAACTTTTAATTAAAGATTGTATTGATAGTTACATGAGTTGAACTAAATTATTGCTGTCTTTTTTTTAATCTTTAAGGTTAGAGTATTAAATACTATGTAAAGAATGAAAACATTTAAACAACACTTCTTAAATAACTCGTAAGTGATTACAAATATATTAATGTGTTCAAATTAGCTATCTTGTACCCTGTTATATTATATTCTAATGTATCTATTTCCAGTCCTGGATAAATCATTACTTGTTGTATGGTATTCCCTTCTGGAAGTTCTCTCGCATCGAAGCCAGCTTTTCAAAATACCGTATACCGTAACTGAAACAAAAATAAACTGCGTCAGATCGTGTGTGTGAGCTTATATGTATACTAAAAGTCTAAAATAAAGTGTATAGTGAAGGTTTTATTACGATTCCTACTCAAACACACATATTCACGTATATGCGTATAATATATGTGATATGTGTGTTTGTGTGTGTTTTACTGTAATATACGTGAGATTGTGATGTGCGCACGTGTTTGTAAACGGTCAAAGGGCCGTAATATTTCGTGCCAAATTGTATGGAGACATTTTAAAAAGCTTCTTCTCTTGGACAAAGAAACACTACTTTTTTGCTCAAACATTTTTTTTTTTTTTAACGACACCGCTTAATGGAAAGAAAAACTTCTTCGTGTAAGTCACTAAACTTGATAAAAATAAAAATATATATATTAATATTGATCGAACAATAAATGTTTTAATTAGATTTCACAGAAATTTTGATTTTCCGTTGCTCATCACTTTTAATTACATTGTTAATTCTTCAATTTAGGTACGAACGTCCTGCTCATTTTTATTTTTTGTTCTTTCTTTTACTTAATAGACGCACAAAAAGCTTTTTTTACGGATAATGTTATTGTTTTAGTATCGCGAGACACGACTACCTCAAATAATAATAAACGAGTATAAAATTCGAAAGTTGTGCATAATATCATAATCCATCATCGAGTAACGCTGGCTATACCCAGGCATAGGACTTCCGGAAAATTCACGATAAGTAATAGGTAATATTTCAATTTCCAAATTTTTTTGAAATTCTTAGAAATGCCTAAATTATTTAATTAAAAATTTTTTTCTGTTATTAAAGACATGTTATATTGATATTGTTATTGTCTCATGTGTTGAGTTATGTATTTTTACACATGTATAAATATATAGTATACAATAATGAGTATTAATATTACTACACGGATAAAAATATTAACCAAATAAATTTGGGTGACAACAATTTAGTTGGTCAAATTATATTTTAGTGAGGTTTGATACAACTATGTACTGACATTTACTATAAAGTTATGGTCGGACCTTTAGTAGTTGTACCAATAAAATACTATATGGTATAGTATGTAGCTAGAACATTATGGTTTGAATACTATTGTTAAGAACCAAAATAGGTACTATTTAGGTCACTATCAAATAACCAATGTGCAAATTTGATAGGTTTAGTACATTTTAGTTCTGGATAACTCTTTAAATAATGGATGTACAAGGTTGGATATGAGCTTGGATTTCAGAGCATTGATCAATAAACCTTTTCGTATCAAAAAGTGGGTTAAAATCAATTTAGCACCTTTAGGTCCTGAGCCCACGATGGTTAATCAACCATGGCTTTAATACACAGATGTTAGCATTATTGATGAATCAACAATAATTCGTTCCAGAAATATCTTTACGATGCCTGTGAATTCTAGCATGTTCCCGGGGATATTTCCCTCCCCTGCTATACTGATATTCTATACATTACATTGTGTTCATATAATATATAATATTATAATGGACGAACTTTTGTAACTATACACAAATATTATAATCTCTTTGTATTAAAGATATTAAAGTAGGTAGTAATTTAATATTAACCGAGTTTGCAGTTTTGTTGCCCGTCAAGAGGGTCGGTTATTGTATGCGTTATTATACGCTCTAATCCCTGAAACGTCCGGTATGATATTATTCTACCGGGTCAGTCAATGTTTTGTGGCTCTTGAAGTAACACTGCGGAAGCACTTCCGGGTTGGTCAAACGCCGGGACAGGGAAAGAAGAAGAAAAAAGGGGGCACATAATTTTAAAAACCCCACAATGCACTATAAATACAATATATTCGAATAATTACGTTCCGGGAAGGGTGAAGTCCGTGTGCGTGGTATTCCAAAAGTCGCTTTTTTTTTTTTGTTCAAAACTGACTAATTGGTGTTGCGAAATACAAAATATTTAGGGTTTTATTCAGTACCTAATTACATTTGAATAATACTAATTGTTCATTTGTATTTGGTACTCTCAAAGTATTTGAATGTTGTCGGATAGTTTCAGACAATTTTGAATAACAAATTTTGACGATTGAAATAAAAATACTCGATGAATAATGTCATCGAAAAAAATGCCATTTCAAGCATGCGACTACAGTATATGGTACGGTATGGTATAGTATGGTTTAGAAATGTCAAATACGTGACAAAAAAATCCTAACGTAATTTAAAATTCATCGTTTAAATGTGTCAGAGCACGTAAACCCGTCGTGTAGAGATTGACTCTTTTCATTTTATTAAAAAAAATAATAATAATAATAACAATAAAAAACTCGTTTTAAGAAACCATTTTCAATAGATATGAAAAACGACCAATAACAATTAATATACTGACTACATAATATATATATATATACATAAATATATAAACTCTTTTTAAATCAAGGCGATTTTTTTTTTTAAATTCAAAGTTCTAAAAGAAAGAAAAACAACACTATTGTTTTTATGGTAAAGTGTTTCTATAATAGCTCGAGCTTCCCCCGTACGCGTCTGTGTCGTATATAAATACGTACAATATACCGCAAAAACAATACGTCTGCGAAACGTTTCTTTTATTTAAGAATTCTCTGAATCTCGAACTGATTAAATTTTGTAAACTGTCGGTAGGATTAAATTTATTATAATTTTGCCGAGTAGAATTCGAGGTTGAAAATAATCCCGAATATATTTTAAGCGTAATTAAAAAATCCTAAGCACCGTACGTGTAATGAAACTTTATTCTGGTCGATCGAACAAAAAATATAAAAAAAAAAACCGATACTTTTTATACGTTATCCGACGTACACGTCTTTCACAATATTTTCAAAAGTTTTACGCGCTTTTGCAAACTAGATTACGACATCTATATTTTATTCCGTACTTTAAAATATATATATATATAAAAATACCCATAAAAGACTTATTATGACGTGTGGTGAAAGTCTAAAAAAAAAAAAAGATGTGCTCCGTTCGAACAAATCGGATAAAATATATTTTCAGCTGTCGACATTCGTTTTCGATGCAATAATGTATAATGTTGTCGCGGAGAACAATTTTTTCGCAGCGTCTTCAGTACAACCCGTGACTTGGCCTGGTCAGGACTGACGAGAGGGTGGCCGAAGAAGTACACGTTGCACTCTAACGCGCAGTGCTGTCGAGTAAAAAAATGGCTTTCGAAAATCGCCAATAATATTTTACTACGCCATTAGCACCACTAAAGGGTACTTAGGAGTTTGGGGTACTATAGATTTCTCCTGGTTGAATTTATTTTAGCACGTACAGTTGATGACTATTAGGTTTATCATACAGAGGGGCGGAATTAGTTTCCACCACTGTCCGTTTAACTTCTAAAAAAGGTTGGTTACCATTTTCCTGCAGAAATTCTTTTTGCACTACGGATCATGTACTTTTCTTCCAAACATTAAAAAAGTGCAATAAAAAAATTACCAATATTTTAGCCAGCAACCACACACGTATCTGTTTTAGTGTTGTGAACTTTATTATAAAAAAAAGAGTAAGACACTAGTTAGTAATCTCATGACTCTAATTATCTATAATTATCTATTAAGCCTGATGCGGGCCAGCCGTTTGCATTAATATTGTATAATAATAGTTATCATCGATTCTTATGATGGTTTTTATACACGGAATTATATATACAGGGTGTCCCGTGAGGATTTACCTATTAGCCGTAGAGGGGGACTCGCCGCCCGGACAAAAACCGGTTTTTTGCCGTTTTACTTATTAATTAAAAAAATTATTAAAAATCAGGAAATTAATGAAATTAAAATGTTGAAACGTCAATATTTTCAGAAAAATGAACTCTACAAAATGGCAATCTTCAATATTTTTTTAAATAATTAATTAAAAAAATAATTTTTTTAACTTTTTTACCAAAACATAAAAAAAATAATAAAAAATTAGTTATTTGTAGTGCTTACCTCTGTGAGTCTTAATAAGAAAACAGAATTACGATATCTCTATTATTTCAGGAGATATCGCAATGAGTAAATCCTCACGGGACACCCTGTATATATATATACATTTATAATATAGACTCTAGTATAGAAGTAAATGTGATTATATAATTTTTATAAAGAAAACCAAATATATCTATATATATGAATATTGTGTAGCAAATCCAAAATTATATTTACTATAAAATAAAAAGTATTCAGACTAAAAGAAAAAACTACTGATCAAACAAACGACTTGAAGCAATCGATAATACAATTAGTGGCCTGAAAAACAAAGACATTTCTAGGAAATAATAAAAAGTAAATTAGTTTTTTATCCGACTTATAAAATAACTATTTTGTTCCATAAAATATGTTCAAGTTTTTTTTTTAATTTATTTTATGTCAGATATTTGTGTAACATAAATGTATATGGATTATGGGGCGATTCACCAAGCATGCTAGCCCCTTTTTTTCTTCAATAATACAATCATTCAAAATCTAATTTTTGGAGTTTTTAAATATATTTTAAGACCGTATTTTAAAATTCAACAATTTTTTTGTTGGAGCTTTCTGTGCAAATACAAACTTCAGTTTTTCAGATGAGATCTCCCTTTTACAACTGTAAATATTATACAGTGGATAATTTTATACGTAAAAATGTTGGCGTATCAGAATCAAAATTTGTACGAGTAGTTTTTTAAGTTATTTAACTTTGTGTTCTAATGATAAAAGGTCCATGGTAATGGCTTAAGATATGGGGGCTATGGTGATTTGACAATTTTGGTCATTAATATTAATTCATCGATATGAATAGTTCGTAAAAATATCCCAAGTGTAATAAATAATAGATAAATTTAGGTCTATTTTATATTTTGTAAAACCATTTTTAAGAGGCACTACCCGTGTGTTTATTTTATTAGCCGTTTTCATAGCTACGACATAGCTTTTCTTTCACTAGTTGCAATAGTGTGTTAATAGTTAGGATATTAGAGTGAATTGACCTATTAGGTAAGAACATTATCTGCTCTTAATCGTCAGCGGTTTTTGAATATTTTAATTCCCAATCGAAACATGAGAATTTTTAGTTTGTGATTTTATCATACCCAAATCTTGCTTGAAAATTAAAATATCGAATAGATCGCCGACGTATAGATAATGTTTTTATCTAATATTTTGTTGAGGTCAATTCACACTAATGTAAAAACCAACAGCACAGTAGCATACTATTTAAATTAGTGAATGCAAATTTGCTATGTCGTACGTGTGTAGACGGAGACAACGAATGCATTTATAGCGTAGTATTATCCAATGTATAAGCATTTTAATAACTAAAAAACTACTCATTCAAATTTTTAATTAGGTACCATCATCAACTGTAAGAACTCAAGAACATAAAAATAGGAGAGTATATTTAAAATTCCAAAAATCATAATTTGAATAAATTTATTATTAAAGGAATAAATGGGGAGGTATATATTAATTTTATTTGGAGTTAAAATGTCCTATATTATTATAAAAAAAGCGGGTAAGTGAAGTCGCTTTTCTGTAAAGAAGGTTACAATTGGGTCACTGTAATGGATGGTGTTAAATTTGAATTCAATAATATAATATGATTGTATACAAAAAACGATTCTGAGCGGAGACGGTTTTTTAGCATTGGATATTTTATATCATATTTTTATTTTTATTATTAATACGATAGCTGGTTGAACTGAATTATTATTATTTGTAAATTTGTTTTTATCATATTTGTATTTAATAATAATAAATACTTTTGAAGTTTCAAGTACTCACCAAAAATATTTTTTAAATATAACACACAACTAAAATCGTTCTTCTTCATTTAAATATATAATTTAGTCCAAATTTCAACATAAAATAACTATAAAAAAACTGTTTTTATATATTTTGTTTACAGAACAACCTACTTACGTGAACCTTTTATAAAATTTTTAATCCCTAGCTATAAAAGTTTAACATTTTAAACAATTTTATAACTACAAAATCATTTTTAAATCTAAATTTTGATAAAGGTTATCAACATTTGAACTCTAAATGCCTATAAAAAAAATTTTACATATGTATTTTTAATATTTTTCAAAGACTATAGTAGCAATAATCAGGAGCCTTGTGATACATTTTCAAGCTTCTTGATCCAACGAATAAAATGTAATTGATAATTATAGAAAAAAATTTAAATAAATTGGAAACTTAAAATGTTCGCAAACAGCTCAAAACCAATTAATTTAAATTATTTTGTAAATTGTATGGTGTATATAAAATGCTAATATAAATATTCACTGAAAATTTTATGTATCTATCTCTAAAAGCCAATTTTGCTTAAAAATTCCTATTTTTCCCGGCGCTTTTAATCACTACTTAACTATAAACTAACTAGATTCATTTTCTCATCGGAAGAAATACTGAAATTGATTATGGAAGCATTATTTCGATTACTTATCGTTTACACAGACAAAGATAAAAATAAGAAATAAAAACACACATCACTGGAAAATCAACACATTCATCGTTCAGAGTCTAAAATAATAATTGTTAATGACTAATAATAATTAATAAGTAAATATAATAAATATTAATATAAAAGTATGACCTATTATTATTAGTTATTTGGTTAACTGCCTATTTTTTGGGTATTTATTTTATTTGTAATTAATATATAACCAAAAAAAAATATTCTTAAAATAAGAATGCTTTATAAGTACTAAATATAATTTTATACTCCAACAATCTCTTATTTTGCAGATAATGGTGGAAGTGGTCGAGATTAATTTTTTTGAGGAAAATAGCTACCGCCACATAAAAAAGTCCTTCAATAATTACATATACCGCGATAATTTAGAATTATTTAACATTTATTATATTTTCGAATCACAGTGATGAGTGACACGCGAGTGGAGGGTGACCAGGGTGATATATCATCCTCCAGATTCATTATTTATTTTTATGTTTTAATGATTTATTTAATAAATATCATGAAATAGAATGATTTGAAAGTATCCGGCCCAAGCTCATTCATGGTTATAAATCAAAAAATTTAATTGTGTATGTTTGTTTTCGTAGAATGTGACGAGGTGCGTTCGTATAAATATTCTGCTCAAAATTTACTATTTTGTCTATAATATTATGATAGATGCGTAGAATATAGTCGTATAGAAGGACATTTTCGGACGTTCTCAAAGTGCACAGCAATAAGCGAGTTTTTTTTTTGCCATCAACCCCGAAAATAATAAAAACGAAAATTCACAACTGGTAAGTCGTAATCACAATGTTATTAGAAGATATTATACTCACGCGTGATGTCCCGGGTAATAGTACTGGTGCCAGGTGGGTTTCAGGATTTCAGCCAACACGACGGCGTGCAATATCTGAACGGCCACCAAAATCCTCGGCAACATGACGTCTGTGTGTTAATGTCTTTGATTTAGAGCACCGCAAATGCGCTGTACAATTAACACTAACAGATAATGATTACTAAATACTGTCGTCGTACAACTCTAATATCGCTTGAATTGTTGGTCGTACAATCAGCGAGAGAAGACTTGATAAAAATCGTCACCGGGCCTACTATATTATATTATATTAAAAACGGATATTATATTATTTTGTCTTATCGTAACGACGTGCAGTGGTGTAGTGTCTTTGCGGTACCAACGACAAGACCACTTTACAATAGACGACGGTTACGACGATAACAATACCTACCTATGTCGATAACAATAGTATAAATTACTGCACGAGACGATCTCACAGGACGAAAGACGTTTGCGATGTGCGGAGGATCTCCTCGGACAATCTGTTTTTTATACGCAACCGAAAAATATGATTCGCGAGCACAATAATAATATTGTTTTTCACTTCGCTTCCACCTCTTCCGTGGTAAATAGTTTTTTTTTCCTCCTTTACCAGCCGTTTTTCACAGCGCGGTCGTCGCCGTGACCTTCCCACCAAGGATCCGAGATGACTGTCAGCCGCCGCCGAAGGAAGACCGGTAGCGAGTAATATACATACTATTACGCATTATGCCCAATACAACGTCATTATAATAATGTTATTATAATTCGCCAAGACGTATCTAATGTCGTACGCATGTGATGATGATAACAATAATAATAATAATAATATGCGCTCTCTCCTTCACGCAGCCTTGATTCGTTTACCGCGTCTCGATGACTTCGTTTTCGTGACGACCCGCGACGTTTGTCTCTTAGTTTTCATCAAACACACACACGCACATACATTTTAATCGTCTTCGTCGAGGTCGAACCAAGTCATATTCGTCCGTCCGGGCGTAACTATATTACTATTATTATTATTATTATTGTCAAACACTTTTCACCCCCGAAAATTGCCTCACCTTTCCCTTTTCGGTTGGGACTACGAACAACGTTAATATTATTACGTTATGAGCACTTTGGCTTTCGGTTTTCTCCTCATCGGCAATCGTTTAATTTAAGCCGGTACTGCAGATGCGCTTAACATAAACGTAAAATATTAATAAAAGATCTATTTATACAATATCCTATGTTGGGGATCATGACTGGAGTGCACTAGCAATTTTCGTCACTGATTGTCTGTGACAACGTCACCTGTATCATCAATCGTGTATCATCAATCGTGGGCGTATATAGTATATCGTTATTGATACGATTACTATTCATATTATTGTTTTGTTATTCCTAATTACTGTATTGTAAACACGAGGCCAATTTTTTTTGCCATACTAATAAATACATAGTAAAGTAAAAATAGATTTGCACCAAAAAAAATGTCACCCATATTATGACAGGTAAAATACAAAAAAGAAATGCTTCGGTGTGACCCTATCCGCCCAGTAAAATGGAATTAAGAACATATTTTAATTGGGCAGTATAAATTGAGTTGCATAATACAATTCAATATTAGCTAATTAATTTTATTTTATTCAAATGCTCGTGAAAATTCAATGTTCGTACGATTGAAGTTTTTATAGACTCAAAAACTAAAATACAAAATATTTGTTTTTGCTGAATAAAAAGAGAATAATCATAAACGACAATCAAGGACTATGGGTGAGATAAGAAATGCAATATTTTAGAACGTGTTGATTTTACAACCAAAACGGTTTTTATTGTAGAATTTCGATCAATGGAAGATAGGGTACTTGTATTTATTATTATTATTTTTATTATTATTATAAATCTATTTAGCAATTGGAAAACTGTAAAACTAATAACGACGGTTCGAAAAAACAATAAATTACCATTATCGCATGCCAGGCAGTCTGTTCCAATGGTACACAATAATAGAATATACACCATTGTCGTATTGTTCTTTGAACTTTTTTAACGGTTTTATGTACCTATGTGTAAAATCAATATTATAACATTGATTAGCGACGACCCACCTTAATCGGTACGACACTTTTCATGCAATTTATTGAACACATATTCGAATATTTCGACAGATGTGGTACACAATACTGTACCTACTGTATAATTATATGTTAGATTGTTACGTATTCTAATTAACATTTGATATTGTATGTTCAGTGACGTTCGTAAGAAAATTCAATTTAGAATTAAGTTCTAAGGATATATTTGACAGTCAGTAAAAATTATATATTTCAATGTAGTGCCAATCTTGTAAATAGTCAAGATTTTAAAAAAATACACCCCATTCACCACAATAAAATATTATAACTATATAATTACTTACAGTATTTGGATAATTCTTAACAGAAACACTAAATTACAGTATTTGGATAATTCTTTATACAAACACTCAATTTTTTATTTTGGTCATTCGACTCAAGAGACAGTATAATATGATAGAAGCCGCGACCGTGATTTTTGTAGGGGTGGTCTACTAATTTTGTATTATTGGGTAAGTATAAGTCATAGGTGGGTTTAGGTCAAGGCCATGTAATATTATAGTAGGGATCTATAAAATATTAATATTATGTTATACCAATATTATAGAAGATTAATGATTAAAGCTTTCGAATAATATAATTATTATAATTATTCAATAAGAACACATTTGTATAATACCGTAAATAGACAAGCAATGCAACATAATTAGTACCTATTTTAAAATGTACATATTATTATACATGTACTTACTCATGAAGTATTTCAAATAAATTAAATATTTAAATTTTTATAAAACTTTTTGCATTTTACATTTTTACAATTTTAAAATTATTTTGTTCACTTTGCTTTTAATCAGTTTAGTCAACAAATTGAAAAAAAAACAATATTTCCCTATTATACTTTACAAACTAAATAGTATGTAAAATAATATCAGCCTTTCTTCAACACTGTCGGGCTTTAGCTGGTCAAATTAAGCGATTCCGGGAAAAAACGTTTTCGTGACTCGGCCAAATATAGGATGATATAGATACTCAAGTTAGTGGGTGGGATCGTTTCCATGTTTTTTGAAGGTATATGAGTCGGATCACGGGTAAAAAAACCCTGGTCTGCTGATCGAGTGACATTTCTATAAAATTATTATTCTATGATAATAATATACAACGTTATCTATCAAGTTGATAATATTGCATTTTATTTTATAGTCTTTGAGTCCGTGTACAAAATGATTTGGTGTTCAGCCCTGTCTATGGCTTATATAATATTTTGGATCACAGTTTAGAAAAATACTTTCTCACCTACTATACTGCACACAGTAGCCAGCTGCAGTGTAGTGCAACAGTTAAATTTATCTAGATACGTTATCTACATTAAAACTTCATAATATCTCTAGCTTATCTACATAATAAAGCAAAGGATAAACAAGTATTATACAAATAAATTAGTTATACCTATCTGAGAGTTTTTACTGTGGCTTGCGCGGGATGTAAGTAAACCCGTTAACACACTTTTATTTGCTTACTAAATGTAAGTACAACTCACGCAAATAAACGCATATATTATTTTCTGTATATAAAGAGCCTAACATTTCCAAACTTAGATTTGGATGAACATAATAATATGTAATAATATTCTGTTTTGTTTAGTGTTTAAATTTTACTTCCGTCCTTTGCTTTATACAATGTGATCCATTAAAGTGTCAACACTCATCATTTCGAAGTGTTATTTTTATTTTTTTAATTATATTTTTACAATTCTTATAGTCACGTCAAGATTTTATTTTGTTTTGTATGACAGTATTTGTAATTTTATATTGCAAAGCAGAATATTTTTCAAAGTACTTCGACACAATATTGAAATCGAATTTTAAACGAGTAAACGACCGGAATTAAGTAGAACACAAGTAGGTACCCCTTAAAATGTTGGTCCATGTATACTTTGAATACTTTTAAACAACTAATTAACAATATACACATTTTAAATTCCATTGTATGAATCAAAGTACTCCAATATATATTCTGTTTCGAAATATAAAATAAAAAATAAAATAAGTTCACATTTAAAAAAATTTAAATATATTGTTTAGCCATCTCGTAAAATTATTGTAAAAATATTATTTTCAAAAGAGTTAAATCTTTTTTAAAAAATAAGTGAAGGTTGATACTTAAACGGATCACCAACCTTGTTCATTATTTAGTTTCTTGACATTCATCAAAGTGGGCAATGGTCGTTCATGGCTAATTGGTAAGCTTAAATGTATTATTTTTAAGCTATACCCTTTTTTTTTTTTGTTAATAATATTCAAATACTTCAAATATTATATTATTATGTATAAAGCTTGTTGCTTATAAAATAAAATATATATGTAAAAACGAAGCTGGACTAGAGAAGCAGGAGCCAGGAATACATCGACAATCATTCGTATCTTTCACCTCGATGCTGGATACAGAGGTGGATAGTGAATTTAAACTTTTTACGACTAGGCCTTTTAGGCACTAAACATTTTTTGCCCCTATAATAGGTAATCAAGGCGTTATAATACTTACTCAAAAATATTCTATATAATAAATATTAAATATATAATAGACAATAGTAAATAAATCCTTTTGAATTTGTAGACTACTTTTTTCTCGATTTTAATAAATTAATTATAATTAGCCTATTTTGGAAAAAAGTCAATGACTGTTCACCAAATTTTAATGAAAAACTACAATGATCATTTTTTAAATATTATGAACCATCACATGAAACAAAATTAAAACCGTTTATTGGAACATTAAGTAAAACTTTAAGATTTAAATTTTTTTTTATAATACTTTCTTTTTATAATAATAGGCATCCAAAACACATGTTACAATAAATATTTTTATACAACATTTCTTAACTTAACTGTTTTCATTTTAGAAGTGGACGCCTTGCTTTTAAAACATCTTCTTAGTACTTAGTACTTACCTACGGCACTGGGCACCTAGATAGGTACTTTCTCGTTGATTTGTAAAATTACTGCACGGGCACAGTCACACACGTCACGATCTCTTAAACACAGA